TTTGTTTAAACAAGTAAACTACATCATTTCACAGCAGTAGCACATCCTATTGTCTGCTGTTTCAATCTTGTATGGACACTAAGTTATTATACATATACGAAATGACGAAACATACCTACGGGCGCCATTTCTGAAACCAGATGAGGAGGCTTGAGCCCATGAATTCCACATCTTTGACCGTACATTAAACTTAGTGTAGCCGAATCGATTTGTTGGTTTGATTCGTCATTTCGTAAAACTAAACACATAAATGAAATACTCTTATAGCGTAGCCGAAATGACGTGTATTTTACAATGCCAACTCGTACTTATTTTACATATGTGTAAATTAACTTCACTGGTCATTTGTCTGATGAAGGTGATGGAGTACATAACGTGCTGGTCATCTAAACGTCATACATAAACATTGCTTAATGAACGTCTCTTCAATTATCTAATATGTTAGAATTTGAAAGTCAACACTTACAACGGTTTTGTGCTTTCTAAACTTTAGTTAATTAACTATATAGCACAAACCAAACCAAACCAATTATTCACGTTCGTCGGCGAGTTTGGTTTAGTCTTGTTTAACGTCCTATCAACAGCTATGGTCATGTAAGGACGGCCTCCCCTGTGTGCAAGATGCATGCGTGTAGTGTATGCGTGTGTGTTTTGGGAGGGTTTGCATCCTTTAGCATCGCCGCGGTGCTGCTATGTATATCATCGACGGAGATTAACCGGCATAAATCAAGACATGTTAAATCTTAATTCAAATTCGCGTCTACATAAGCTTTTATTGAAATTTTGTTAAGAAAATACCCTAACCGGAGTTACTTAATTATTCCCCTATTCTTAATATCACTAGATGCCTTATACATCTATCCATACTTCATGGCGTTCTCTTCCCGTCCGCATTGACACGAATTGTCAAACTTTAAAAGTGTGCATTCAAGAAGACGTTATTACTCACCAACAACACTGACCTTGCCGAAGGAAATTAATACCTTAGAATAATTAGCTAGATTCTTCCCATAAAACAGTAGCTGTTTGACATAGTGGAAAAAATGGATGGTAAGTAAAATTAAACTGACATAGGCAACGACATTGTCAGTATTTTCTAAAGCTAAATTAATCAATTCTACAGCCTTCAGAACCATTGAAAATCAAGAAATTTCCTTGATCCAGAGAAGTTAAGGAAATGTCGTTCCAGCCTGATTAATGGCTGATATTTCAAAATAGGTTACGAATCTAACATTAAAAGTAAGAATCTGTTTATACACGGCGAACTTAAAATACAGCCACCGACAAAGAGGAACGCTGTAATAGTTATTTTGATATCTGATTTACCCCCTGACTGCACCCGACCTCAATATAATGTCTTAACAAATGACATAAAAGAACAGGTATTATTGGCCCTTTAAAACAAATTTTCTGGCGTATCGCGACTCTATATCAATATCGCTTATAATTAAAATTTCCGATATAAAAGACTGCATGACGTTCAGTGTCAAGAGCTCATTTATAAAAGGACCCAAATATACCAACCTAAAAGACGGTGTAGTGTGCATTACACTTATCTAATATGTGCATACTCCTCAATATGCTCACTTGTCCTCAAATTTCACTGCGATAATAAAAAGGTACCGTAACCTCATGTCATATTTGAATTCGGGTTCTCACCTTGATAATTGCTCTGCTAGTGTGATCACCTCTTTCTTCCATATTCCTCAAGTGTAATAACCAAAAACAACTTAACTCCATTTCTGTACCGAGTTATACGATTCCACTAAATCTTAGTTTCCAAACACGGGTCGTCAACATGAATTTAAGTATTCTGTAGATGATTCAGAGTTATATTAGAAATACTGGATAATTTCAAACTAGAAATGATTTCTAAAAAATGTTGTCACAACTCTTAGTCTGTTTGCCAATGTTTAGCTCACCTGGTCCGAAGGACCATGGTGAGCTTATGCCATACCGCAGCGTCCGTCGGCAGTCGTCCGTCCGTCCGTCAACTTTTCCTTTAAAACGCTACTAGTCATGAATGACTGAGCAGATTTTGACTAAATTTAGTCAGAAGCATCCATGGGAGAAGGGGAACAAATTTTGTATAAATGGTGGGTCTGATCCCCCTGGGGGCTGGGGGCGGGGCCCAATAGGGGAAATATAGCAACTTCTTTAAAATCCCAGAACTATATATGCAAACATACAAAAGTAGTCATGGTATTAGAATAGACCCTGGGTTCTGACCGAACCCCTAGGGACCTAGTTTCTTAGTCACAGCTTGGAAACAGTTGAGATCCCCACCCTATAACCATGCATATATACAATTGCTGAGTATAAAGAAATTAATGCACATATGCTTCCAGGATGACCCTGAGGTCTGCCCCACCCTTGCAGACTTAACCCCTGGGTCATAACTTTAAAACGGTTGAGATCCCCACCCCAAGACTATAAATACAAATGCTGGACAAAAAGAGACGAATGCAGTCATGCTATTAGAATTGATCCTGGGGTCTGGCCACAACCCTAGGGATCTAGTTTCTGAGTCACAGCATGGAAACAGTTGAGATCCCCACCCCATAACGCTGGGCATGAAAAATCTAATACAGACATACTACAAGAATTGGCATTGGGGTCTGGCATGTTCCCTTGGATCTCATTTGAAGAGTATTTTGCCATGATNTTTTGAAACGATTGAGATCCATACCCCAGAACTATATATACAAACATACAAAAGTAGCCATGGTATTATAATAGACCCTGGGTTCTGACCGAACCCCTAGGGACCTAGTTTCTTAGTCACAGCTTGGAAACAGTTGAGATCCCCACCCTATAACCATGCATATATACAATTGCTGAGTATAAAGAAATTAATGCACATATGCTTCCAGGATGACCCTGAGGTCTGCCCCACCCTTGCAGACTTAACCCCTGGGTCATAACTTTAAAACGGTTGAGATCCCCACCCCAAGACTATAAATACAAATGCTGGACAAAAAGAGACGAATGCAGTCATGATATTAGAATTGATCCTGGGGTCTGGCCACAACCCTAGGGATCTAGTTTCTGAGTCACAGCATGGAAACAGTTGAGATCCCCACCCCATAACGCTGGGCATGGAAAATATAATACAGACATACTACAAGAATTGGCATTGGGGTCTGGCATGTTCCCTTGGATCTCATTTGAAGAGTATTTTGCCATGATTGCTTAGATATCCAGGTGAGCGATACAGGCCCTCTGGGCCTTTTGTTTTTAAATGGTCTGTGCTGGCCACCAGTTTATGTTTGACCAGCTGACTGATATTTCTGACAACTCTCGCACCACTATTTGAGGTACATGTAAGTGATAAACGTATTGCCCAAATGTAACTAATATCATATTACATATTTAAAAGGTCACCGTTTAATATAATCTATATGATGTGAATTTACTGTTCCGCACTGCAAGGAGAGGATCAGCATAGGTAATACGTTTTGCTTATTTCCTTTTGAACTTAATACTCTATGATAAAATGTTCATAAATGATTTTTCTTTTTATTTTAAGTGCTGAACTTGCTTATATTATCAGTGATGGGTGCTGAACACAAAAAGTGATACAATGTACTAAAATATCTCGTTGCCATGTTTGTTTTTTTGGTTCTGGTTTAAAGCTGAAACAAATTGTGACAGTTATTTGTTATTCCTTGTTCACAATAACAAAACTCTTTGTGTACTTGGCATACGTCAAGGTAAGGCGTAACCCTTTAAAAAACATGAATAAACACAACCGTAACTGCAAGCGCTGTTCAGGTGGTGCGAGAGATTTGTGTCCGACACATATTCTATGCTCTGTTTCTTTTGTACTTGTTATTGCAAGAAGACACCTGTAGATAAAAAGACCAGGTCACGTAATTGAGGCCATAGTTTTCTATTGGGGCCAAACAAAACAACACACGGGCTTGCTTCCATTATTATAATATAAAACTTTAAAAACATATTGGATGCAATTAGAAAAGCATCCCATCTTATTATTTTCTGTTTAATATTATTTAAAAGGAACCTCTTAGGACTGTGACCTATATAGCTCACCCTTTTGGCCCATGTGTGCATCCCTTGAGCAGGTTAATAAACATTTGAGCGTGTGTATACAAGCATTTAAACATATTTGCACCAGTAAACACACGTTCCGCTGTACTACCAGATAAATGGAACCTGAATTACTAATTTAACTCTGAAATACTGAGTGCTTCGTTGTGCGCGAAATGGGGCCATTATCAGAATGAAAACATTCATGGACACGTGACTACATAATACGTGTATAGCAGGATAGATAGGTATATATATCTACATATGAATCATTTCTTAGTCAAATAGGAAAGCTCATATTTTTTTCAGTAAATAAATTGCAAACGAGATTACCAAAAAATAGCAGAAAATATTTTCTGTTTTGTAGAAAATCTGGTTTTGAGCCTATATAATTACAGGGACGGAACTTTCCCTTGTCGGTGTGGATTCATTTAGAAGCAACAACAATCAGTGTTTTTGTTTTGTTTTTCTGTTTAAAAATGTTAGTGTAGTGAAAACATATTAGGAGATCGAAAGGGGAATTCTAGACTGGAAATTTCCCAAGCTTCGACATTTTAAAACTTATATATTAAACGTTGGACATACAACTACAACCCCATGTTCTGTTGCATATTGTTCAAAATTATCTAAGGTACGTTGTATGTCCAAAATCTGTTTATTTTCTAGTTTTAAATTTTTGTCATGTTAAGGTCGAAGCAGGCTCAACTGCGACTCAACTAATGGACCTGAGGTCGTGTAAAAAAACCCACCCAAAAAACGTCAATTAATATAATGGGTCAGTGTGCATAAGCCGTTTTGTGAATCTGCTCCATTGCGCAACATGTGACACACGAAAGTATTTGCACACGGTGTTGTAATTGCTTGGCAACAGTAACACTGCGATGCACACAGGTGAAACATTGCACACGTACCGTCTATATTGCCATTGAGTATAAATAGGGCGTCACCTTCCTTAGGAACATAACCAACGCAACATTTGCCACCTGTTCCACGTCGATTTTTAGAAGAATTTTGTCTGATTTAAGATGTCGTCGTCTGCAGGTAAGATATTGTTGCACATTGTATTATCAGTTAAAGTATTACACAGTTAAGGTCATGGAAAGATATGCACCTCGCGTTGAGTTAACAAATGACACTTGATAAATATATATATACTAATCACAGAATGCTGGATAGGTATCGATGCCACGCCCCTGGACGTATAAGATATACCAATGGTACTATATACATACAATAAATATGATATACACAAACTGTAGATTATTATTATGTTTATTACATTTTTTTCATTGTTATTAAGCTGGTCTATCTGTCACCACAACGATCTTAAAATCTAACTCAGGGTGTATTGTATAAAAACACATTCTATTTAGCGATATTTCCTAATCATTCTGACCTATTTTGCAAATTAATAGGGTTGACGTCATTAATAAGAACTTCACGGCTAACGGGTTTCCTAAATTCTGATATATCAGCAAGAACTATAAATTCATATATCCCATTTAATTGTGATTTCTCTCGTGTGTGCCTTGACTGACCACCAACTGTCCCGACAGTTTCACATAACTAACCAGGTACTGTAATGAGACTCTGTTTCGCGCAAACAATCGTCTGGATTAGGATTTGTGGACGGCGTCGGAATAGAAAACATTACTATATTTATTGACTAATTGAGGTTTGCTACTTTTTTTTTCTTTTTCTAAAAGTTAGACTTATAAAATTGTGTGCGTGGATTTTAGGTACGACTGTGACGTGCTCTGGTGAACGGTGTACAACTGGCCCAGAATGTACCTGTGGAGGTCCGAGCAACTGCAAATGTCCCAATGATTGCAACTGTCCGAAGTGTGCTCCTAAATGCAAATGTTTTGGTAAGTTTCACTATTTTAGTTATTCATTTTGATATCGGATGCCAAAGTAAATCAATCTAAAACATTTGTAAGTTAAATTTATGCAATTTATCATAGGATTTTTTTAAAGTAAAAACAGTTTAGAATGTCTAGCAAGCATTAGGAGCCACTATATGTAATTGTTATGGAAATAATACATTCCGTTTGTCCTATTGTAGGTGAGTGCACTTGTAACATAGGGTGCACCGGACCAGCCAATTGTACCTGCGACCGCAGCTGCCCTTGCAAAAATTAACCAGCCTTCTTTGTGTGTTGTCATTCTCAATTTTTAGCTGCTCTGTCTCTCTGTCACTGTCCCTGCCATTCTGTCTCTCTGTCTCTCTGTCATTGTCACTGTCACTGTTACTCTGTCTCTCTGTCACTGTCACTGTCACTCTGTCTCTCTGTCTCTCGGTCTCTCTGTCACTCTGTCTCCCTGTCACTCTGTCACTCGGTCTCTCTGTCACTCTGTCTCTCTGTCTCTTTGTCACTCGGTCTCTCTGTCACTCTGTCTCCCTGTCACTCTGTCACTCGGTCTCTCTGTCACTCTGTCTCCCTGTCACTCTGTCTCTCTATCACTCTGTCTCTCTGTCACTGTCACTGTCACTCTGTCTCTCTGTCACTCGGTCTCTCTGTCACTCTGTCTCCCTGTCACTCTGTCTCTCTTTCACTCTGTCTCTCTGTCACTGTCACTGTCACTCTGTCTCTCTGTCACTCGGTCTCTCTGTCACTCTGTCTCCCTGTCACTCTGTCACTCTGTCTCTCTATCACTCTGTCTCTCTGTCACTCTGTCTCTCTGTCTCTCTGTCACTCTGTCTCCCTGTCTCTGTCTCTTAAAATACATCTGCTTCGAATACAAGAAATATAGATACAAACTGTATAACAAATATGATTGTGGTTTATTAATTTAGATTAAGTCGGATTATTATATTTAGATTTCGGAAAAAATATGTTATTCAACATTTGATGTTGACCACACTGTTGTAAAAATATAATAAACAAAACTTAATTATTATTCCTTCTTTGGTTTATTTGTGTAAACCCAAGGGTGCCACGTGCACTGTATACGATAGAATGTCGACTTATAAGAAGTGTAGAGTAGTCATACGAATTTGTCGTCTCCAGACAAAAAAAATCAGACAAGGATGATCTAGTTATTTATCATGTGTCGTGAGCAGCTGTATATATTTTATTAAGCAATAGGCAAAAATGCCTTTGTGCATTACATAATAACAATCCACATAGGTGGTACAGGTGGAGTGGAACATGAACATGGACAAAGAAATATTTTTGTAATTGGTATAATACACATACGTGCAGCGACAGGTGCGAGGACTTGTTTTCAATCTACCCATATTTAGGCAACCAGATATCCATTACCACGTGTTTCATAGCAATCGAGAAATTACATATTGTTTGTATAATGTTAAAAGTTTGTACCTAAAAACCGTTGTGTTACATATGTGATCGATGGGAGATAACTATTGATGCCATGTGCGTAACAAAAATATAAAATTTAGGATAAAGTTGCCAGAAACACGTACAGAATAAATACCCAGTCGTCCAGAGTTAATTATTAAAAAGTATATTATTTCTGATCTCGTTTGCCTTGAAAACATAACTTGCTAGATTTCTTACAATTGCAACATTAGATGATGTAATTAAATCCACAAATCTTTCCCTAGTATCTTCTTGGAATGAACGGTGTTCTTACCTCAGAAACCTGATTACATTCAATAATGAAATGATACTCATCTTCTAAAACATCACAAAATATACATTTTCTCATCTCATACGGTATTACAATAGGTCTATGTCATCGCCCTACCTCTACACTGAGGCACACCGGTGTGATGATACTCTTAGCCTTGTCAATGCTATTCTAAATTTATGTACATTTACGATATCCAGATACTCTTTATATTCGAAAATGTCATCCAATTGTATATAAAACCTAGCCCGAGACGACTCAGCCAGCTCAGCATTCCAGTTTTGTACAAAAACATCGCTCACTCTTGTTTTAAACAGACACATAAACATATTTATAGTGCCAACAGCCTGCAGATTCCAGACATTACCGAAACCATGTTTAAAAAGCACGGTTTTTACTAAGCTTGCCCAATCATTAACATTGTGCATCTCACATTGATCATATAAAACATTGTAAACAGATTGCACTAAATTATTTGCATTTCCACATACAATTTTTAGCCAGTACTTAATAATTCTACTATATCTCAAGAACCTTAAAGGCATTCTACCGAGTTCCCCATACACAAAATTATTCTGCGTTGTTGATTTAACCCCCAATAACCTTTTACAAAACTTCAGATGTAATCTCTCAATAGCCATAGCAGTATGAAAACCCCACACCTCACATCCATAACATAAAATGGGACTGACAAGTTTATCAAATAAAGAACACATATGCTTTGGAGTCAATCCAACAAACATTCTTGTCCATTTTTCTAATTGAAATAATGCCTTGGAGCCTTGTTCCGCTGATGTCTTTTGAGTTTCAGAAAAAGCACCTCCAGCTGTGAATACAACACCTAAGTACGAATACTTGCTGACCACCACAATCTCTTGGTTACCAAGAAAAAAATGTGAAGATTCACTTAGCCTTCCTCCCCTACGAAACACCATGATTTTAGTTTACCCACATTTACTTTCATTTTCCATCTCTCACAGTAATCATACAAAACATCTAAACCTTTTTGCAAACCAAAAGCAGTATCTGAGAGTATTGTGATATCATCTGCATACAAAAGAAGGAAAACTTTAAGTAGATTTATCGACACTCCCTCAAAACCTTTGTCAACTAATTCACTCTCCAAATCATTAATATACATTGCAAATAAAAAGGGTGACAGACTTTCGCCTTGCCTTACCCCCGTAGTGCAAATGAACTCATCTGATACTTCATTATTTACTTTAACTCTAGACCTAACAGTACTATACATAGACTTGATAATGTCCAACATATTTCCTCGGACGCCCAACTTGATCAACTTACACCATAAATTGTCCCTGATCACATAATCAAAGGCCTTGGAGAAGTCTATAAAAGTACAAAATAATTGTGTATTAGAGTTAATAAAATGGGAAATTAAGCCATGTAGGATAAAAATATTGTCAACCGTACTATGGTTAGATCTGAAGCCTGCTTGGGCATCAACATATACCTTGTGTTCCTCCGCCCAGGCGGTAAGTCTATTATTTAGAGTTTTTGTAAACAATTTTCCTACTACACTCAACAGAGTTATCCCCTAAAGTTTTCAACGTCTGAAAAATAAACCCATCAGACCATGACTCTGTAAAAATGACAGATTTGAATATTTTGTTAAACAGCTTGTGAAGATAAGGCAATAAAAACTCTTTACCATTTATCAAAAACTCATTAATAATCAAGTCAGGACCAGAACTCTTACCATTTTTTAACTGCTTTATGCCCTTTTCGATTTCCTCAATTTAAATGTCAACATTCAAGCACTGAAACACCACTTGCATATGGTTATTTTCATATCTCGCATTAAAATCAATTATATCCTCATCTGGTGTAAAAAATGGATCCACTGGGTTATTAACAATTGAAAAAAACACCATTTAAATTCGCTTGCGTTTATCTTTACTGCTGTGATTTTACCTGTTGACCTCTTTAATATTTTCCAATATTCTTTACCATTTCTTTCATTAGCAACTAATACTTTACTAGTATTTTCCTGATCATAGCTAATACGACATTTTCTTGCCTCATTCTTAAAAATGTTTCTGGCCCTCACCATGTTAATTCTAGTGGATTCAGACTCTTTTGCTCTATAAATATCCAACGTTTCAAAAAATAATCTGCGCTTTTCTTCACATACCTTGTTGTATCAAGGAATAAACCAGGCGCGTAGCTAGCCCCTTTACCGTGTGTAAGCCCGACATGGGGTTGCGGAACGCTACGCGCTTCGAGCCTCGCGCTTCGGGGTGGGGNCTTCCCCCTCCCTTTTTAAGACCCCCTCCCTTTAAGGGGGGTCTGGGGGGTCTCCACCATGAAAAAATGTTTTCTAGAACGCCCAGGAGCCATTTCCCACGTCCTGATGTCTGTTTTCTCGTTTTAATCCGCTAGAAAAAAGTCCTATTTTTTGTATATATATATACCTATGTACGTGGATCCAGTGTAATTCTGAAGATTAACCGTCGGTATTGCTTTGTACACCCTCCATACATACATTGTCTGGTTTTTACCTAAGTTATGTATACTATATATTCAAAACTTAAACTCCACTTTATAGTATCAGCAAGAAAAAAAACCGTCATGAAAACCTATACTTGTCAAAATCATGTGCAAGCCCGGGCTTATTGGCTTACATGGTAGCTACGCGCCTGTAAACCGTCTTTGTTGACAATGATTAACATTTGATACTCCTGTACTGTATTTTGCCATAATAGGATCTGCAGATGCAGATAATGCCTCATTCAACAATTCCGACGCTCTATTAACAGATTCTTCATTATGATCCTCGTTCTCCATTGAATTATCAAGTTCATTAAAACGCACCAGAGAATTAACCTGTAGATTTTGTAAAAATGTGACCCCAAGTTCTGGTTTCCATGTAAACTTTTTAAATTTCACATTACCATTATTAACAAGATCACCCTCCTCAGGCTTAGTTAAATTTGTCAAGAGAGAGAGAAATTGATATATGATCACTGTACAAATTAGGTTCTCCAACAACAGACGAATATGATGTACAGAGGAAAGACGCGTTTCAGGTACATCGCAAGCGGAATATAATTATTATAAAAATGAGAAGAAGAAAACCCACTATGATTCATTCATTCGTCCATTTAATTATTTGCGTATAACACAACAACAATAATTTACCCATACTTGTTTCGAACTCGCCTTACTTGTCTTTTGAGGTATTCGACTGAAAATATGATACGATTTACATACATGTAAGCATCATACTGCGTCATTAACTCCGATTTTGATTTTTGATAATGTTTTTTATTGCAAACCATTTGTTACATTAAGTATAGGAAACACGATTAAAGAAACATACACTCGTTAACAGCAAACATGAGTTCAATATAATACACGATAACAAGAAGGGATAAAAAAAGAGGGAGCAGAGAATTACAAAATACGCAAGGCTCATCGCACAATGTGTGAGCGAAGATGGCGTACGTCGCTGTTCCCTGTCGGTACTTGGTATAGAGAGTGCACGGCACAGAACACAAGCTAACATATTTTGGGATATTTTGGATGTGGTAATATATATATTTATTCACCCTTGGAGTGAATTAGCCAATTCAAACACACAAAAACAAAACAAGGAATGCACGAGTCCGGCCGTAGTAGTAGGGTTATCAATACATGTAGGTAAAGATGACCATGGCAACGTCATGCTGGGTGTACTGGCTATATAATCTCAACAACTAAACTCTACTACAACGGCCGGACTCGTGTATTCCTTATGTAACCCGTATACTGTGTAACACAGAACTTCACTCAACGCTTTGCACGCACGTTGGTGATCATAATTCCCGTGGGTGTGCTTTTTTTATCGGAATTGTGATGATTTCAAAATATTTCCTTGTATAGGTTTTACATAAAATAGGAATTTGTCAACAGGCAAAGCCTATAAAATTCCTCTCTTTAAAAGACAAAAACAATTCATTTATCTCATACCTGTTGAATCTTGTTATAGTAATACAAGCAATTTTGAGATAATGAAATACAACATTCTGTATTGCACATGTGCAATACACTAGCCGGAACTACTTTTTATGGGAATCCCCTTGTCATGGCGAACTGAAAAGTTCCAGGTATTTTCAAAAAATATCAAAGTTTATAAACTCTTTGTATCGATCTCTACCAAACACGGAAGGCATGTGATAAAAGCAAGACCACACACTTGTGTTTTTCTAACGAATCAGAAAGCACTCATTTATTGCGCGGACGTATATATTCACTCGAGCGCTCCGCGAACTCGTGGATATATATTCGTCCGCGCAATACACTCATGCTTTCTGATTCGTGCTTACTGTTGGCACACCGAAATCGCCTATTTTGGCAAAAATGATATTTTAATTTTCTGTGTTACTATTGGCGTATGCCTGAATTGATTCTTACATATGAGTGGGTCATCTCTTGTAATAAAATCTTAAAAACAATGTAATATTTGATACAGTTCGATGTATTCTAATATTAACTAGCTGTTACTAAGTTGTATTGCTAAGTGTTACTAAGTTGTATTGCTAAGTGTTACTAAGTTCTATTGCTAAGTGTTACTAAGTTGTATTGCTAAGTGTTACTAAGTTATATTGCTTAGTGTTACTAAGTTGTATTGCTAAGTGTTACTAAGTTATATTGCTAAGTGTTACTAAGTTCTATTGCTAAGTGTTACTAAGTTCTATTGTTAAGTGTTGTTAAGTTCTATGGCTAAGTGTTGTTAAGTTCTATGGCTAAGTGTTACTAAGTTCTATGACTAAGTGTTATTAAGTTCTATGGTTAAGAAAAAAAATTGGACCCTTTTATTGCTAAAAAACATAAAATAATTGTGAAATGCACTAATGTAACGGTTCCTGACATGGAGCATGTATATTTTATAGTTAAAGTGTCAGGGTGTTTATGTGTTTAATTAATGAATAGATAAATTGCCATATTCAATACAATATTAGCAGATTACATAGTTTTGTTTTGTTTTTTGTTTCGTCCATTACGCCCTCACCTGGACCCGCCCCTGACTGACTGTACATTGTGACGAATACAGAATGGGACTGTAGCGTCATACAATGGTGGAGTATAACAGTCCATTGTGACGATTAGGGAATGGGACTGTGCATTGTGACGATTACAGGACGGGACTGTACATTGTTACGAATACAGAATGGACGGGACCCTAGGGTGGGATGAACAGTTATTGTCTTTCGTAATGAATACTGGAAATTAGATGACCGGCGTGGCGGAGAAATTACTTGTCTTTGATTACTAGAACTGTATCCATAACCAAAATATCCAACATAAAGTTTTGCTTACAATGATATTATGTTTACATAGGACACGCACCCTCCCAGGCTAGATGTAACTGACTGTAGGCCTCAAATGTGAATTTCAGAGAATACCTTTCCAAGAAAGTCAGAATTTAATTTTTATCCACACATACATGTACCACTATTTTAAGATATATGACAGATGATATCAAAAGGTAACCTCTCATTTTTCAGAGGAACAATTTACACATAAAGGTTTCCCTATCCAAGGAGTTGATAACACACAAAGGGGAATGCAACCTCCCTTTTTCAAGAGCTCTTGAGTGTTAGCAGGGTAGTACCTGGATAGTCTGGACACTCAGAGATACACCTTTACTCAAAAGACAATATAAGGTAGCCTTCCTGCTTATGAAAAGATATAAATGCGTAACTAAAAGACATTCGAAAATCTGAAAAGGCCAAATCGATAAAACTAGGGCAATACATGAACAAAGGAAAGAGTTACATAAAGACCCTTGAAGAGGTACATCATTGACCACACCTGCCATGAAAAGGTACATCATTGACCACACCTGCCATGAAAAGGTACATCATTGACCACACCTGCCATGAAAAGGTACATCATTGACCACACCTGCCATGAAAAGGTACATCATTGACCACACCTGCCATGAAAAGGTACATCATTGACCACACCTGCCATGAAAAGGTACATCATTGACCACACCTGCCATGAAAAGGTACATCATTGACCACACCTGCCATGAAAAGGTACATCATTGACCACACCTGCCATGAAAAGGTACATCATTGACCACACCTGCCATGAAAAGGTACATCATTGACCACACCTGCCATGAAAAGGTACATCATTGACCACACCTGCCATGAAAAGGTACATCATTGACCACACCTGCCATGAAAAGGTACATCATTGACCACACCTGCCATGAAAAGGTACATCATTGACCACACCTGCCATGAAAAGGTACATCATTGACCACACCTGCCATGAAAAGGTACATCATTGACCACACCTGCCATGAAAAGGTACATCATTGACCACACCTGCCATGAAAAGGTACATCATTGACCACACCTGCCATGAAAAGGTACATCATTGACCACACCTGCCATGAAAAGGTACATCATTGACCACACCTGCCATGAAAAGGTACATCATTGACCACACCTGCCATGAAAAGGTACATCATTGACCACACCTGCCATGAAAAGGTACATCATTGACCACACCTGCCATGAAAAGGTACATCATTGACCACACCTGCCATGAAAAGGTACATCATTGACCACACCTGCCATGCAAATCTATGACAAATCAAAGTTCAACTTTAACAGGATACTCTAAAACGTTCAATATACTGAACATTATTTAGAGGCGTCAGAGAGATCGGTTTAATAAAAACAAGTACTTTTTTTTTTTTTTTTTTAGAACTATAAGGTAATACTATGTCACCATACCGAGAACTGGGTTAGGGACAGCAACACATAAATGCACACTACATGAATAATAATTAATATGGCAATCTAAAAAAACTTTTCTTCTAGTCTTCATCCACCTCCATCACTGGAAACCCAGTTTTGTAAGCTTGTCTTCAGCAGTCGACATTTATATATAGACGGAACTTATGGTGTTTGGAACTAGCTGATGGATAGGTTTTACGTCCGCTTCACTACCGAGTAGTTCTATGGAACTAGCTCTTGAATATCAAATTAACAGCGACATGTAATTATACTGCAGGTTTGGTGCAGGGATGTTACTAGCAAGAAAGGAAAAGCAATGTACACAACCGGTTAACCTAACTGATATAGGCTGGTCGTGCTGTCTTGAGCACAGGGACCTGATAATTTGTTACGGCTATATTTGGACCTAAACTAAGGTGTCTAGCGTAATTTTTACATGTTTTAGGGGTTAAATCAACTTTCGGTAAAATAGACACCCCTAGTGATCATATAAATATAGGTGCTCCTGTGCATGTGCATGGTCTTGAGTCCTTTTAATAATACACATATTGTTTCATTTTTCTTAGTTTTTTGTTCATCATTGTTATTGTAATTCTAACGTATTATCAACTAAATATTTTGAATCGAATAGCTCGTTAGCAAGAAATGTATTGGGTGCTAAAAACTCGGTCTTTGGTTCTTATCGTCGATATTATCGCGTGCGGTCAACGGTGCAAGGGAAATAACTCTACCGACTCCTGAAATTGTTATCGGAATCACCCATTCATCGTGAAACATGGTGGTAAAAATGCATTATATAGCAGTAGCATATAAATGAAATTGTATCACCAATGGAACCTCAGGTTTTATTTATGTGGTAAAATTCGGTGCTTTATTTTCAACGGCAAGTGCCGAAAGTTTCCGATTTCGGTTACACCGTAAAATATCATGTGACAAATCTAGAGGAGACATGATCATGTGACCATCCAAAATGGTAGACGTAAACATCCCGCTACTGTTTTCGATACTGTTTGTGCACATTGCTGTTGTTTCTACTATCATTCCGAAAGCATATACCATGCATGTGAAGCATAAACACACGAACGTAAGAATATTTGATACGTTTGGAGTGTCAGTGAAGCAGGCGAAATCAAGCAAATGTGTGGGTAAATTTCCTCCAACACTGGCAACAGCGCATCCGATAAGTACGTGGTCGGCAACAGTTGGAAAGGCAAACTTAGCTTTTTATAAAGCCAACTCTAAGCATTTAGGGTCGAAGACAAGAACATTGAATGACGGAGAAATCATTGATTATAAACCAGGCACCCCAGCGTCGCCTTTTATCATCTGGGGACTCTATGGAAAGGTTGTTTATCCTAGTCAAACATTTGCAAATTCTTCAATGATTGTTCACGTATTCGATCCACAGTCGGGTTTTCTTGAATGTATGTGGACATCGGACGAAGGATTGAAGCCCATAGTCAATTTCACAGCTTTGAACTCGATACATTTTGTTTTTATCCCCAAATCAGCTGGGATACATGATGTTTATGGGGCCATGTGGATGAGGGACCGTATCCTCCAAACAATGACAAGAGAGGCCAGTATGTAAGTTGTCTATAAATGTGTAGAGGCAGCTACTGACCATTTGTTTTTCTATATATGTTGTAGACATGGATTTGATCAACTCATGTAGATATGTCTAGGTTTAATCCCTCATTTCAACCCTGATATCCCTCCAAAAATATGCTGGGGAAATAAAAAAAATATTTAAACTATGAAAAAAGGCCTCTGTAATCCAATGGGTTTTCATTTTGTGACTAAATAATTTTGTAATTGTCTTATACCATGTACTTAATGAAAAGTTAATTTTCTCAGATCAATGATTTTGATATTTGGAACTTGGAAATATTGTTAGCTTAGCATTATTATAAAGTTTTTCTCTAATTTTACCCCTCAGTGTGTAGATGTACATACATGTATACAGAGGTATATGATAAGACAATTGCTGAAAGTGGTCTATTTTTCATTGTGTTATGTTGCTTCCACAAAATACAAATATGTATCCTTACACTCTGAATGACAGTGAATGAACAGTTATTAGAATTCTTGAGATTTAATTTTATGGTCAACTTTTGTGAAAAAATTGTACTTTACACTCATAATATGTACCTTCATTGCAATCGCTTGTTTCTACAGGAGTAGTACAGACGTCTCAGTTGTGATGAAGAGGATCCATTTTTCTGTTGTTCCACTAGACAAACTTGGCAATTGGATCCCAGACGCATTGAGCCAGTGGCATTGTGTTGACCATCTTTGTGGCTACGACCAGGTTGTCGTCCGATCTGACGGTAATAACTAAAGTGAACTAACTACCACTGTATAAACAGGTGTTTGACTGACAGATTGGCTTTTTGTTTATAAATATGATGTTTTACAATGACTATTTTATTTAAAAAGAACACATGATGTATTGGATGAACAGGAGGAACATTCCTGAGATTTGTGAATTTCCAATCTTATTAAAATAAAATGTTCTACAATGTAATTCTGAGTCCTGTTTGAAGAAGCATAATGAAAACATCAGTGGAATTAATGTCCATGCAGTCTTACATGTAAATGAGCCAATTTAATTATGTATGTTTATTCAAAGAAGCTTCTCTTTCTGTTAAAGCATCACCATTTCCTGTTGTCAGTAAGAGATTGGATGCCAGATATGACTGGTTGCCAAGTCCACAGAGTGTGTTTGGAAACAAGACAGTGTCATTGGTTAGAGCTGAGACTGGCTGTAACAGTGTGGAGGCTGTCAATGGATCCATAGCTCTTGTTGCTTCGGGAAAATGTTCCTTTTTCCAAAAGGTAAATATATATTCAGTGTTTTTTCTTTTTTTAAGCAACCATGTGTATGGGGTGCCTTAGTAGTATTATTTAAGGAAGAATTTCAAAATTTAGAAGGGGGTGGGGGAAGGTGATATACATTATCCCAACCCTATCCTCTTGAAAAATATGTACAGTCATAGTTTGTCTCTTGTTATTTAACTAAGAAAAAATATAAGAATATTGATCATTTGCGATTTCCTCACCTTTTGAAAAATATTATGTAAAATGATGAGATAATTAACTGTATTTTCCCTTTTATTTTAGGTTCAAACAATGCAGAGATCAGGGGCCATTGGCGTTGTTGTGTTTGCTAATAAAACTGAAAGTATACAGGAGTTGTCCTGCAATGGTGGTCAGTGTAATACCCCATTGTCTATACCAGCTACAATGGTGGAGTATAACAGTGTATATACTGGGTAGGTGTGTAACATCCCCTACTGTAGCACCTTATGCTTATACCAGACAATGGTGGAGTATAACATTATATATACTGGAGAGGTGTGTAACATCCCCTACTGTAGTACTGTATGCTTATACCAGATAATATTGGAGTATATCTATACCGTAGTATATAAAGTAGGTATAGATATACTCCAATATTATCTGGTATAAGCATACAGTACTACAGTAGGGGATGTTACACACCTCTCCCGTATATACACTGTTATACTCCACCATTGTCTGGTATAAGCACACGGTACTACAGTAGGGGATGTTACACGACTCTCCAGTATATACACTGTTATACTCCACCATTGTCTGGTATAAGCACACGGTACTACAGTAGGGGATGTTACACGACTCTCCAGTATATACACTGTTATACTCCACCATTGTCTGGTATAAGCATACGGTACTACAGTAGGGGATGTTACACACCTCTCCAGTATATATACTGGAGAGGTGTGTAACATCCCCTACTGTAGTACTGTATGCTTATACCAGATAATATTGGAGTATATCTATACCGTAGTATATAAAGTAGGTAGGCATGGTGTCCATCTTGTCTGTATGTCCACACTGTCGTTTCCAGAGATTTTCTCAGAATCCAAAAGACTATTCTGTTTGAAATTTGATGTGGTGATACTCTGTTATATGAAGATGTGTAATAAGTGTTTTAAAGTTTTAAAAGTCAAAGTTAACGTCACTGTTACTAAAAATATTGAACATTGGGGGTACAGTCAGGCACACTGTTGGCTCTTTTTGACCTGTCATTGGTTCAAGTAAATTTTAGTCACCATCATTTATTTTCATTGTTCAGATATATTTGAGGTAACAAATTGCTTGTATCTTTTTCCATAGAACTGAGAAGCTTAACATCAGTTTCCAAAATACTCCATCTGAGAATTTTTTCCTGGCGATAAACCAGGCAGGGTCACTGGCGGAAGTGGGCTGGTTCCTGTATCCATCGATGGACTTTCTGGTGTGGCAGGCTCAGTGGTAAGTATATAGTAACAGGATGGAAACATGTGACACTCGGGCTAATATATACAGTACATCCTTCTGGCAAAACTTTCCACTTGAAACTTACCTGTCCTTAATTGTTTCATATAGGAATTTGGCCAAACTTTTTTTGTTAACGGTTACCTATTTAATAATACTTTTCACATAAACTCACATAACAACACATTATGTATCTTTTATTAACGTTGGACATAAATAAATTTGTTGATCGTCATTTGTCTTAGAGTTCCGTGTACCAAGGGAAATAATCCAAGATGGCGATCTCTCAGAATCGTTGATCTTTTCCTGAAAAAAACTTGAAATTTTCTATACCTGTGTATTTTACGCACCCACCACTTTAGGTATTAAATTTCTGAAAAATAGTGCGCAAATTACATGGGGTTTTACGGTATTATAAATTATGACTCATCTATTTATGTTTGCTTTCAGGTCTTGATTTAATCTAATTTTAGCTGAATATCTATTTGTATGGTGATACATCCTGCTACTAGGAGTTTGAAATTATACTTACAGTTCTCTTATCTCATGGGAACCGTCATAGTCAGAGCGTATACAGTAATTTCTCATAAAATCACAATTTTACACATGACTTTAAAACACGATTTCTTCCCCTTGGAAATGAAGATATGTTCATTGAGGAATATACATAAAATAGTAAAACCATCTGACCATTTAGTCACTTGCATTTGAGGACACTTTAACTGACTTGAGCATTGTATGATTGAATAGAGTATGGATTGTATATTTGACTAAAGAAGTGTGTTGTAGGTTTGAGTACAGAGATAAGCTGGACAAAAGATTACACACACCGGCTACCTCAGTCGAAATCTTCACAGAGCGGGTAATGCAAGGGAAAGACGGTGTTGTCGCTAACATCACATTGCCGGATTTAACAGGTAAATGATTCATGATGAATACAAACTTTCTGCATTGGATTCTGCCTGGATGTATATTAATTATTGTAATGTTAAAATTTGGCCTTTGTGTTTAATTGTTTCATTAGTGTAGATGGATTGTTTCACTATTTTGGACTTATTGTTTTCCAGAAAATATTCAGATGAATCAAATTTGTGACTAAATATAATGAAGGTAATTTCGATGAATTATTTGGTTTCAGAATATTTTTGTCATTAAACAAGAATTTTTGACATTGAGCAGCACCTGCCTTATTCCAGATATTTTTCTGTACAGATTTGCAAAAGTTTTCCAAGATGGAGTTGGACATGTCCCTCTCATGTCCAGGTACCATGGATACAGACTGTCCTCACTGGGATCACACCATCAACCTGTATGTTTGCTGTGACCCAGGGTCACCGCTCTGCGGTATGGAGCTGGGACGCTGGATAAGTGCCTTCAGACGGTACAACACTATCAAAACTATGTTTTCTCTGTGTTGGTGGTTGGGGGACATATTGTCATGATTTGGTTTTTGATTAACATCGTTATCTTAGTACGATCATGCCATACTTAATGCTTAATATAGCTTTTAAAAGTTAGTAGGTCAAATGTCTCATAATCAGTTGATAAGAAAAAAACAAATTTGGTTTTCAGACAAGAAGCTATGTACTCTTTGTTTGTGACTTGTGTGAATATACAGTGTAATCTATTACTGTATTAACTACACTCCTGATTTTGTTTTGTGGTTTTTGGAATGACACTCTCTGGATGTTGCAACTGTTTGCTCCACAGGAGGATTGGCCGTTGGATGACAGATGTGTCCCCACTTCTTCCCCTCCTCACAAGCTCTACTTGTGTGTTTAACATGAAGACAGAGCCGTGGGCAATGCCTTGGAAGCCATCATTAAATTTAAGATTTTCTCAACCTCGGGCATCAGGTATGATGTAAAAGGTTTTACATCTTAATGAAATTTACACTTTACATGTTTAATGGGATTTAATACTTACATCTTAATGAAATTTACAACTTACATGTTTAATGGGATTTAATACTTACATCTTAATGGAATTTACACCTTACATGTTTAATAGGATTTTATACTTACAACTTAAGGGAATTTATACCTTACATGTTTAATGGGATTTAATATTTACATCTTAATGGAATGTATACCTTATATGTTTAATGGGATTTAATACTTACATCTTAATGGAATTTACACCTTACATGTTTAATAGGATTTTATACTTACAACTTAAGGGAATTTATACCTTACATGTTTAATGGGATTTAATACATATACTGACAGTGAAGCATTTGAATGTCCAAATTGGTTATGTAGAAATTTTGTAGATATTTATATGGTCATAAGGCTGAACGTTTGTCAGGAAGAATGCACAAGTTACAAATACACAACATTATAAGAAGGCTGGAACATTAGTAATCTACAAGTAATCTATTGATTATTGTGAATCATATAGTTACTGAAAGATCAGATTTTACAGGAAGAAAATGAGTATTTTGTCACTTGCATGGCTTGATGAATGGAAGTGAGCCAGTGCAAATGAAGTGAATGGTGAAAAATGTCATGTAAATTAGCAAGAGATTCACTTTCCTTCATCAGGCCATATATAAACAGTCCTAAATATTATTGGAATTTTTATTTCTTTAACATTGTTTCAGAGGTACATATATATATATTTGTTATTTGTAGGTGAACTGTATCCTGAGAAGGTCACAGTGCTGTATGAACCTGGAGCCACCTTTGATAAAACTTACAACTCGCATTTCAAGCCATACATGTTTACAGTACCAGATGATATTAAAAAGGTAAAATACACAGTATCCTCTCTTTATAAGACACTAACTAATCCATATACAGTTACATGCTTACATGTCTTTATATAGAACTTTTTCTACTCCACACGATAACATCATAACCTGTCCTTATCAATCACTGTATAATGCAGCAATCTGTATAAACCAAACATTTAGCTAGGTTAGACACTACTGATTCCTTGGAGAACAGGTGTAATATGACAAGTAAGTTTTTCCTAACAGTGTTGGTCCTGTAGTGATTAGCTATTGTGTTACCTAATTTATGCAACAATAAGCCCATGACTGGTAATAAGCCCACCCATATCTATAGCAGTTTAGAAGAAATGCAAACAAATGGTTTATTCATTTCCCCATAATAAGCCCACCCCCTACTTTGAGTCAGAGTTTATTTATTGCCCTGTAATAAGCCCACCCCCTACTTTGAGTCAGAGTTAATTCATTGCCCTGTAATAAGCCTACCCCCTACTTTGAGTCAGTTAATTCATTGCCCTGTAATAAGCCCACCCCCTACTTTGAGTCAGAGTTGATTCATTGCCCTATAACAAGCCCACCCCCTACTTTGAGTCAGAGTTTATTCATTGCCCTGTAATAAACCCACCCCCTACTTTGAGTCAGAGGTTATTCATTGCCCTGTAATAAGCCCACCCCCTACTTTGAGTCAGAGTTTATGTGTTGGCCCCCTTGGCTTATTGCAGGATAAATATAGCTCCTTATTTACACAGTGTTGCCTTTCTGTGTAACAAATAATTACAAGTTATGAGTCAGTGCTCTATTATCCATTATTAACATGAAATAATTGTTGATTTGAATTAATGAACAATAACATTTCCAAGACATAATTCATCTTTTGAAGATTTAAATTTCTAGTAAGTGCATTTTCTGAACTATTCTCAGGAATTTAAAATAGGTAATTGCAGTATAAATGTGACATCTATGTCAGTTTATCCTAGATATATATAGTTTCTACATATTGTGTTTTGTTGTGTTTTAAGGTGGAGATATTTGCTGTAATCACTGGACATGGCAGTGATGAAAATGGATGTGGAGAATTTTGTGTGACCTCTCATCATTTTAAAGTCAACAGCCACATAAACAATATAACTTTTAGTAATGCGGGTAATGTTGTTATATGTCTTACAGTTTTTGTGTGTTGATTTGGCTAATTCTGAAAGTGTTTAACAGTGAATTAATGGTACATATAACTAGTTGACATAGAATTAAAAAAGTATAGCACACTTTATCTAAATGAAACAGCTCCCCCTTTCTATTGATATCTGTTTATGTACATGTATGTACCCCTTATTGTTGACTCTTATTTATATGTTAAGATATCCCCTGTTGACACATGTTTATGTGTAAAGATATCCCCTGTTGACACATGTTTATGTGTAAAGATATCCCATCTGTTGACACATGTTTATGTGTAAAGATATCCCCTATTGACACATGTTTATGTGTAAAGATATCCCCTATTGACACATGTTTATGTGTAAAGATATCCCCTGTTGACTCATGTTTATGTGTAAAGATATCCCCTGTTGACGCATGTTTATGTGTAAAGATATCCCCTGTTGACTCATGTTTATGTGTAAAGATATCCCCTGTTGACACACGTTTATGCATTAAGATATCCCATCTGTTGACACATGTTTATGTGTAAAGATATCCCCTATTGACACATGTTTATGTGTAAAGATATCCCATCTGTTGACACATGTTTATGTGTAAAGATATCCCCTGTTGACACATGTTTATGTGTAAAGATATCCCATCTGTTGACACATGTTTATGCATTAAGATATCCCATCTGTTGACACATGTTTATATGAAATAATTCCCCCTATTGACACATGTTTGTATGTGAAGATATTGTCTGTTGATACATGCTTACGTGTGTATAGATACCCCCTGTTTACACATGTTTATGTATGTATTGATTTCCCATCTGTTGGCATATGCTTATGTGTGTATTAAAATTCCATGTTGAAACGTATTATGTGTGAAAATATCCTCGGTTGACATATGTTTATATGTGTATAGATTCCTCCTGTTGACACATGCTTATGTGTTTATAGATATCCCCTGTTGACACATGTTTATGTGTTTATAGATATCCCCTGTTTTCACATGTTTATGTGTAAAGCTATCCCCTGTTGACACATGTTTATGGGTTAAGATATCCCCTTTGACACATGTTTATGGGTTTATAGATATCCCCTGTTGCCACATGTTTATGTGTTTTGATATCACATCTGTTGTCACATGTTTATGTGTTATAGATATCCCTTGTTGACACATGTTTATGTGTTAATAGATATCCCATGCTGACACATGTTAATGTGTTTATAGATATCTCATGTTGACACATGTTTATGTGTTTAAAGATATCCCCTGTTGACACATGTTTATAGATATCCCCTGTTGACACATGTTTATGTGTTTTGATATCACATCTGTTGCCACATGTTTATGTGTTATAGATATCCCTTGTTGACACATGTTTATGTGTTAATAGATATCCCATGCTGACACATGTTAATGTGTTTATAGATATCTCATGTTGACACATGTTTATGTGTTTAAAGATATCCCCTGTTGACACATGTTTATAGATATCCCCTGTTGACACATGTTTATGTGTTTTGATATCACATCTGTTGCCACATGTTTATGTGTTATAGATATCCCTTGTTGACACATGTTTATGTGTTAATAGATATCCCATGCTGACACATGTTAATGTGTTTATAGATATCTCATGTTGACACATGTTTATGTGTTTAAAGATATCCCCTGTTGACACATGTTTATGTGTTTATAGATTTCCCCTGTTGACACATGTTTATGTGTTTATAGATATCCCCTGTTGACACATGTTTATGTGTAAGATATCCCCTGTTGACACATGTTTATGTGTTTATAGATATCCCATGTTGACACATGTTTATGTGTTTAAAGATATCCCCTGTTAACACATGTTTATGTGTTTAAAGATATCCCCTGTTGACACATGTTTCTGTGTAAGATATCCCCTGTTGACACATGTTTATGTGTCAGATATCCCCTGTTGACACATGTTTCTGTGTAAGATATCCCCTGTTGACACATGTTTCTGTGTAAGATATCCCCTGTTGACACATGTTTACGTGTTTATAGATATCCCATGTTGACACATGTTTATGTGTTTATAGAAATCCCCTGTTGACACATGTTTATGTGTCAGATATCCCCTGTTGACACATGTTTCTGTGTAAGATATCCCCTGTTGACACATGTTTACGTGTTTATAGATATCCCATGTTGACACATGCTTATGTGTTTAAAGATATCCCCTGTTAACACATGTTTATGTGTTTAAAGATATCCCCTGTTAACACATGTTTATGTGTTTAAAGATATCCCCTGTTAACACATGTTTATGTGTTTCAAGATATCCCCTGTTGACACATGTTTCTGTGTAAGATATCCCCTGTTGACACATGTTTCTGTGTAAGATATCCCCTGTTGACACATGTTTACGTGTTTATAGATATCCCATGTTGACACATGTTTATGTGTTTATAGATATTCCCTGTTAACACATGTTTGTGTGTTTATAGATATCCCCTGTTGACACATGTTTATGTGTTTATAGATATCACCTGTTGACACATGTTTATGTGTTTATAGATATCCCCTGTTAACACATGTTTGTGTGTTTATAGATATCCCCTGTTGACACATGTTTATGTGTTTTAAGATATCCCCTGTTGACACATGTTTATGTGTTTATAGATATCCCCTGTTGACACATGTTTATGTGTTTAGAGATATCCCCTGTTGACACATGTTTATGTGTTTATAGATATCCCCTGTTGACACATGTTTATGTGTTTATAGATATCCCCTGTTGACACATGTTTATGTGTTTTAAGATATCCCCTGTTGACACATGTTTATGTGTTTATAGATATCCCCTGTTGACACATGTTTATGTGTTTTAAGATATCCCCTGTTGACACATGTTTATGTGTTTATAGATATCCCCTGTTGACACATGTTTATGTGTTTTAAGATATCCCCTGTTGACACATGTTTATGTGTTTATAAATATCCCCTGTTGACACATGTTTATGTGTTAAGATATCTCCTGTTGACACATGTTTATGTGTTTATAGATATCCCATGTTGACACATGTTTATGTGCTTAAAGATATCCCCTGTTGACACATGATTATATGTTTATAGATATCCCCTGTTGACACATGTTTATGTGTTTAAAGATATCCCCTGTTGACATATGTTTATGATATCCCCTGTTGACACATAGTTATGTGTTTAGAGAACCCCTCTGTTGACATGTGTTTTAGTGTTTAGACACTTTCTATTGATGCATGTTTATATATATAAATATCCCCTTTGTTGTATTTGTGTATGTAGGTACTCCTCTTGGATGTGCAGATCGAGTGCCGTATGGAGTGGAGCCAAACGAGCATGGTACCTGGCTTTATGGCCGAAATGGCTGGTGTGATGGACAGAACGTGTTGCCATGGGTGATTGATGTCACAGACCAGCTCGCGTCACCAGGGACAGATAACTCTTTGTCTTATTTTGGATGGTACAATGGGACAGACCCCAACCCCAAACACAGCCCTGGAATCATCATCATGTACTCCTATTTGGTGTATTATAGGGAACTGTAAATTACTTCAGTGTTTTTGTTAATGTTTACTTTGAAATATTTTTGTAGCACTGAAAGATCTTTTGAAACAAATCATAGAATTGAAAATATGTTATGATTATCACTCAAAATAAACATGTCTGTATTCCTAAGATAAATATAATTCAAGTAATTTTTAAATATTTCTTTCCTTTATTTATTTTTTATTGTCAAAATTATTTTATTTTAAGTTTGTATGTGTTTTGTTCTGCATTTGCATGTATCTTTTTTCTGATTTAAATTGCATTTATTCAACCTTTTAAGTTTTAAGGATGAAGTTTGTGTTACACTGTCTTGTGTACAATATAAGTGAGCACTGTGCTGACTAAGTGAGGTGCAAAGCTATAAGATTATAATGAAAATTACCTCCCTTCATCAGACTATGCAAATATAATTTTTTCTTATTAAATCTCTGATGCGTTTCATTGCAAGCAACCAAATCATTCAACTCATAATATATTTACAATTACACATTTGTAACAAACAGTAGTTACATTAACATACAAAATATAAATTAACATACAATATTTACATTAACTTAGTGTAAATACATCAACATAAAGTAAATTTACTGTAGTTACAATAACATTTCACTCTTTCTGTCTGTTTGTTTTTTTCCTTTACAACATGATCTCATTAAAGACTTTGATGAGTATTTTGAAGTTTAATAAAAACAAATTCAGCTTGTGATCTCTAAAATTACTGTAAGTGTGAAAAATTACAAAGTTATAATGTCAGAATGAGGAGCGCATGCCACACCTTCCTCCTCTGGTGTTGAAGAAAGCTAGAAGTGCAAGTTATGTGGATATGAAGCCTGAAAAAGTTAATAGGTACAGGTATACAATAATAGGTGCATGTATACAACAATAGGTACATGTATACAATAATAGGTACATGTATACAGCAATAGGTACATGTATACAGCAATAGGTACAGGTATACAGCAATAGGTACAGGTATACAATAATAGGTACATGTATACAGCAATAGGTATAGGTATACAGCAATAGGTACAGGTATACAATAATAGGTACAGGTATACAGCAATAGGTACATGTATACAGCAATAGGTACATGTATACAACAATAGGTACATGTATACAATAATAGGTACAGTTATACAATAATAGGTACATGTATACAATAATAAGTACATGTATACAGCAATAGGTACATGTATACAGCAATAGGTACATGTATACAATAATAGGTACATGTATACAATAATAGGTACATGTATACAACAATAGGTACAGGTATACAGCAATAGGTACATGTATACAATAATAGGTACAGGTATACAATAATAGGTACATGTATACAGCAATAGGTACAGGTATACAGCAATAGGTACAGGTATACAATAATAGGTACATGTATACAATAATAGGTACAGGTATACAATAATAGGTACAGATATACAGCAATAGGTACATGTATACAGGAATAGATACATGTATACAGCAATAGGTACATGTATACAACAATAGGTACATGTATACAATAATAGGTACAGGTATACAATAATAGGTACATGTATACAGCAATAGGTACATGTATACAGCAATAGATACATGTATACAAAAATAGGTACATGTATACAATAATACTATCATCTAATGTTAAGTTGGTACAATTAATGAGGAATTTTATTATATTCGTGGTCATCAAAGTTCTGGCAAAGTTAAATACCCAGTGAATATTAATACCATGACTTAAAGTCCCTGTGAATTTATTGTTAAAATATAGAAAAATTCTGTTTACCCGTTTACTGCCAAATAATGGAGATGAAAAATTCAATATCCCCTTTTTTTTTTTTTTTTTTAATTTTATTTCACAGAACACATGTAAAATAAATCCCATCACCCACAAGCAGAATAACCCTTGGCAGTGTGATATTTTTTATCTTGCCATCTAGTTCTGATCGAGACAACGGTGAAATATTAGCTCAGTATAATTAAACAACTACACTGTCTTCAGTTTTTTACTTACTTAATTCTACATATACATATTTTCTACATGTTTGCGTACTTAATCGCACATATTTATGTAATTTATTTAATATTCATACGTTCTTTTTATATGTAAAATCTATTTTTGAATCATATAATCATTTGGAGGGTATGTACGTGAACTGATATCCATAAACATGTTAATATACTGTAATATGATGTAGGATACAAGCAGAACATTCTATTTTGAAGCTAACTATATATCCGTCACTCTTGGCCTATGTATTTTGAATCTCCTGATGTATTACTGCAGTTTCTTTAGAAATCTTCTGTGTTGTTGACAAAACTTGTCTCAGCTGAACTGCATAAAACAATATTATTATAGGCTGCTGTTGTTACTCTTCCTGTATTCTCACCTATAATTGTTATATCCTTACAAGTAGCAGTTCCTAAAACATACACAATAAAGGTCTGTGGTCATCATTTTATGCTGACAATGATTAAATTATTTTTGATAAAAAAAAATGGTTTCTGTTCTTTATTTGAACGTATTGTTTTTTCGGTTTTTGTCGTGTTATTGATCTTAAATGCGCGTTGTTTGTGATTTTGTGAAACCCAGTGAAGTTAGTACATCTGTATTGCTCGTCTGTCATTGGTTATACTTATTATACTCCTGATACTCCAGAGGTAACGCCCACTTTCACTCTCTGCACCACTTGGATATGTCATGACAGAACTGAAGGCTAAGGGTGCAACACATTGTGGATGAGATAAGAACATTAACAGTTTAATATAAACTTTATTTCATTTCTTTTTTCATTTACAGTATAATATAAAGCAATACACAATTGTTGAAAATGAATTTGAAAACAAGTTTTACAACTTCTATAGATCCATCTCCAGTTGAAGAAAGACATGAGATTTGAGGTTTGAGAAAGAAATTTGCAGCAATGCGTTGCGTATACATGTATGAGTGAAAAGTGGAAAATAGGAAAGAGAAGGGAAAGAGAGGTGAAGGAGAGTTGCTCAGATATACCCTGAGTTAAAAAACAACTTATCATCCCCAAACAGCAATAATTTAATTGATCTGGAGCTCTCGATTTTAAATGGGATGTCGCTCAGCTGTAGTCTTTCAAAGACAGGTTTCATTCTAACGATTGGTTAGTTTGTTTTACCTGAAACTGATCAAATGGCAAGCCGCGTGCCTTCAATTTTGTTTTGATATATCACAGGGGTGCTGCTGCACAAAATGTAAGTGAGCGTTACCTCTGGAGTATCGAGGATATGTATCCTACACAATGTGCTGTAGTACTCAATTATTTATTTTTGACCCTAGCTGGGATAGAAGATATAGAACACCAACACTCGCTCTATGAAATGGTTACAGAATATATTGTTCTTCATTCCGTATTGTATCTGACTTTAGAACTGTAGTTAACTTGCCATTTCGTTCTGTTAATCAGAAATTGACAGGTTAAAATGTTGGTAAACTATTTTGTATGAACGCATCAGACTTAATGCCTTATTATGGACTAAGACCAACGCTTTATATCGTCTTTAGCTCACCTGGTGTGAGACCAAGATGAGGTTATTATGCGTGGCGTCCATTACCGGCCGTCCGTCAATAGTCTCATTAAACAACTTCGAAAGCACTGAACGGTTTCTCCGAACTCGTCTTGAAGGTTCCTTAAGTGAAGGTGATTCGAAATTGTACAAGTAGAGGGACTGATCCTCCCTTCATAGGGATGGGAGAAGGACAGGACCATCCACAAGTAAATTAGCCCCATTGGTTCAATCGTCTCTTTTTCTGGAACTATGAGATAGTGTCAACCATATTTGGTTGGAGGTTTGCTCTTCGAGTGGGGATTCCCAATTGTACATAGGGATGGCTGACCCCACGGCTGCTGAGGGACAGGGCCAAAGCGGCTTATATACGTACGTTAGAAATGGTTAAAATCCAAGCCCTAGGACAGAAAAATTGCCTCTTGCTCCGGCCAACCCTTGGATTATGTCCCTGTGTCATAATATGGAAACGGCCGAGATCCAAACCTTATAACCCTATATGCGATTGCTGGGCTGGAATGAATAATTATGTAGATACTGGCATCGTGGTCGACCCCAGTCCATCACATAGAAAGTAGAAAGAATATGAAAATGCTTAGCATGAGAAACTAATACAAATATACTGCCAGATCTGCCTAGCCCCTGGGACATTAGTTCATAGGTCATAACTTGGAATGGCTTTGACCCCGGCCCAATATTAGATATATGTGATGAAGTCATGTTATGTGAAACTAGTTAAACTACAGTGTATAATCATGATAATATATTTTTTTTCAAATACCAACACGGAACAGGTATATGGAGTGCATTCATGTTTATAATGTATATATATATATATTATAATGAACGTATTAAACCCACATTTATGTTACTCTCTCACTCGTTTGTTTATTTAAAAAAAAACATTGACAGTGTACTTGTAATTTAATTAATTACATCAATAAAACCATGATATGGTAATGGTAATGGTTATGCTTCTTTTCCCAATGTAATGTGTAGTTTAAATAATTACATTACCAATCAAATAGCTAGCCCCATGTCTGTTTGCTGGAAATGAAGAGACGTACACAAGTATACTATCAGAATTAGCCCCCTTGGTCTGTCCTCGCCAATTGGGACTAAGTCCCTAGGTCATAGCATGGAAATGCTTGAGATCCAAAACCGATACACATATGCTAATAGGATTAATCCTGGTTTCTGGCCAAACCCCTGGACAGGTATTTGTAGTATAACATTAATACATTTTTTGGCTTGATTCCTGAAATATCGATGTGAACGACAGAGGAATTCTGAGTTATGACTGAACTACAACGTCTAAATATATCCCAATTATATGTCGAAGCAGGGTATTTAACTATGATTGATTCTTAGATTAACAGTTAGGATGGCCAAACCATCTTTTAGAAGGCTTGTTGAAGCTTGATATTTTACCAATCTTGTTTTTATGTAATTTAGGTTTGCCACGTAACACCACACGGACTATTCACTGCAGGAAGGGCTGGTCTTACTACGATGGATCGTGTTATGTTTTTGTCACCAGGGAGAAGGACACATGGATTGAAGCTGTAGTAAATGTTCTCTTTATATATCACAAGAGTAGAATTGAACGGGACATATATTATGTAGGGTTTGCTCCATAAAAATGTAGAGTCGAAGGCAGTACATGTGAAAAGTCGATTCCATGCAATAGTAATACCGTATTGATCCTGTCCTTGGAAAGAGACTTATAAACGTAAATATTTTTTAAACATTAAACTGCATTTTCTTCAGAATTATAGTCTCATAATTCTGAACAGAGAACTGAATAACGCGCGTTAGCGCTTAATGAATATTTGCCTGCAATCCTGTTAAGAATAACACACTTATAACTCTGAACACAATTGTAGTTAAATACTTATTTTTAAATAAATCGATTTTTTTCCCTCTGCAGCCAACAGCCCGTATTACAGTAGTAATGACATCATAAAGATAATTCTGGATTTTTTCTTCAGAAATCAAAATTGACTTTGGTAGGTTTATATATTTGAAGTGTAGAGCAAATGTTAACATCTGTAAGTAGATGAATAGTAAGGGTGTAAAAGGGTCCAGTCAGTCCAGGCAAGGTCCAGGTAAGGTCCAGGCAAGGTCCATATAAGGTCCAGGCAAGGTCCAGGCAAGGTCCAGATAAGGTCCAGGCAAGGTCCAGGTAAGGCCCAGTCAGTCCAGTTTAGCGTTAAAGTAAGGGAAGGTAAAGGTCCAGGCAAGGTCCAGGTAAGGTCCAAGCAAGGTCCAGTCAGTCCAGGCAAGGTCCAGCCAGTCCTGTTTAATGTTAAAGTAAGGGAAGGTAAAGGTCCAGGCAAGTCTAGGTAAGATCCAGGCAAGGTCCAGGTAAGATCCAGGCAAGGTCCAGTCAGTCCAGACAGGGTCCAGTCAGTCCAGTTTAGTGTTAAAGTAAGGGAAGGTAAAGCTCCAGGCATGTCCAGGGAAAAGTCCAGTCACGGTCCGCTCATGATCCATGCAAGATCCAGGTTGATAAAGTCCATCCGAGGGACCTAGAGTGGACCTACAATACATATATATATCGAGTGAAGAGTTTGTACGACACATTCAATGGCTCAAGCTCAGATCGATCATATTAAGAAAGAAGACATCAGTGTAACAGACATTTCAACCAACAGAGTCGTTTGTTGTGTCAGTCTTACACAGGAAGTCATCATCAGAAAACTAGTGTGATTGAGTCCGTCTTACACAGGAAGTCATCATCAGAAAACTAGTGTGATTGAGTCCGTCTTACACAGGAAGTCATCATCAGAAAACTAGTGTGATTGAGTCCGTCTTACACAGGAAGTCATCATCAGAAAACTAGTGTGATTGAGTCCGTCTTACACAGGAAGTCATCATCAGAAAACTAGTGTGATTGAGTCCGTCTTACACAGGAAGTCATCATCAGAAAACTAGTGTGATTGAACCGAACTTTAATCGTATACGGGACTGTGTATCCATGATAAAATACTATTTATCCGGGGGAGATAAATAAAATCACGTTACCGTACATAGTGATGACCTTATCTCACAAAAAAGTATTATCAGGTGTATATAGGATCGTAAATGTTTACAACATTACCTCATTCCTACGCCTCGAAACGATTATAAATAGTGATTATCTATTAAGATGTTTTATATACATCAGTTTATACCGACCTTTGGTGTCTATATACAAAGTGTTGTTTACTATCAGCTTAATAACTATGACAAAACGTTATCTCTCATTTTTGGCATGTATAACAAAGAGTCGGTGTCAGATTGTATATCTGAATGTAGAGAGAATTGACTTATATATAAAACAAGCGATTTGTTTGTTAAATTATAATTTTATTATTAACATTAATATTGAGAAAAAATCAATACAAAACACCAATAAATAGATTATACATCATTGAAACCTAAGTGAAATGTATAACCGTTTAAGAACAACCTTAAGATGAATTACAACATTGTACTTACAAGCAAATATGATCACCACATGTTCTATACATGTTCTCAGAACAAACTGTTAAGAAGCACTAGAGTACATGATACAGATGATGTCTCTCATACTTTTCATTTAGACGTACATCTTAAATATTTTTCTACAACTTTTCACAATACAGATGATGTCTCTCAAACATTTTTTTCTTTCAATACAAACGATGTCTTCCATACATTTTTTCTTTCAATACAAACGATGTCTTCCATACATGTTTTCTTTCAATAAAAAAGATGTCTTCCATACATTTTTTCTTTCAATACAAACGATGTCTTCCATACATTTTTTCTTTCAATACAAACGATGTCTTCCATGCATGTTTTCTTTCAATAAAAACGATGTCTCTCATACGTTTTCTTGGACTTTATTTTGTAAAATGGTCTTTTTTTATTTCTTATAAGCACACAAGTTTTACATAAACATTCACACTTGCTAAGTAAAGGCACATACGTATCTATACCGTAATTTACAAAAACTGTTATGACTTTTTTCACTTAATATACTATTATTGTCTTACAGTATTGAATGTAAATAAGCTAATGCATGAATGTTCAAGTGATTTGTTTTCAGTCCACCCCGTTCAAAATATTTGTACAGGGGCTTACTTTAAGTTATTCAAGGAAAAAATATATTAATGCATTACCTAGGGCCTGTTCGTTTATGCAGAACAACCGGTTTGTCTGTTTGTAAATGTAACAATTTCGGGTATATGCAGGCCTTACAAGGCATTGTCAAGGCTCGCCTGAAAACAGCATCAGATTACTAGGTCCGACCTTATTTAATAAACGAACAATTGTGGTCCGACAGGTTCAACCGTTTAAACGAAAACGGCCCTATAGTCAGTTGCAATTGAATTACTGCACGATATTTTATCTCTTTAAAATTGTTCTAAATAAATGTAAGAAAAAGGAATATTGATATATCTATCCCTATTTTTTTTTTAAATTCCCCTGTAAGTACTTGCATGTATGAAATTCATTTTTGTATTGTGGCACCAGAGGTATTCTGTTAACTAGTGTGAAGTAATTAGCATTTGTTCTATTATTAGGATGTCTTCATTGTTGATGATTATTTGTGACTGTACATGTATTTCTCTTCTGGAGAGACTGAATAAGCAAAGGGGCTCGGGGAGTAACAGTTTGGAACTACTGTTTTCTGTTTTTATACATATATCAAGAACATCACATAAACATAATCCTTGCATCACTTGTTGTTTATTTTTGAAATACGTTATACTTTTCTTTTTATGTGTCTCAGGCGTATTAGTTGGAACGGCTGGTTATACTTCGAGGGCTCGTGTTACTTGTTTGTCAGCGGCGAGAAACAACCAAGGATTGATGCAAAATAGCACAAATAATAATTGGACAAAAAGAAGCACATGGACCCTCATTTTGTGGCCGTTTTAGAAAGAGAAAAACACATTTTTTTTTATTCATTAAATACTAAAAGAGGTTAAGTACCTGGGCCCGTATTAACGAAACCGTTCTCATGCCCAATCATGAATTGTGTGCTCTTTCTGTAAGTCACTTAAATCATGTCAAACGATCATAAAGTCAACGTGAACTTTGAAAACAGCATTTAGATTTAAGTATCTTCATTTCCCTCCAAATCCTTGACAAAATTAGATTTCATTATTAATTCATAAACGGAACAAGAAAAAAGGCTTGAGCACAGAACCCATGCTTGAGCATGAGAACAGTTTCTCTAATACGGCTCCAGAACTATTTAAATCAAACGTAAAATCTGCAAAAAAGTTGTGAAAAGTGAGTACTTTTTAATTATCAAATAAGGGGTAGGGGAAACTTAACTCACTTTTCTGAGTTAAAAGAATAAAACGAAGGAATTAAACTTCTATAATTGAACAGAAAATACTATTTTCATCAAATCTGATAGCATTCATACATATCTGATAACACACATTTGAAAATATTGTATGAATTTGAACTGCAAATGATCAAAAACAAAACAATCACCTAAACTCAGATAAATTGGTATCTTTGACCAATCATAGCGTCAAAAAAGAACACAGGGCCATCTAATTTTCTGTTGCATATTCTATTATGCAATTAACTCCTTATTCCAAAATTGAAATGCATATAAGGAAAAAAGTTTAATACAGGATATCCTTAACACAGATGCCCATGTTACATATATTTTGTTTGTGTATCAAACGGTCACACGTCCGACCCACCTTACACATAGAAGTAAGATGGATCCACACTTCTACAAACCCATATGTCTTATTTTCTAACTAAGCTTATTTGTCCTGCATTTGTGACGTAGAGATTCCATATATGAACGAGGATTGGAGTTCTGACCTTTTTTTGAGATATTTGAGCTGTTTATTAGTCCTTTTTATTAGATTTTCCCAAAAACTACTACTGTAACATGAAAATTGTGTAAAATCATGTTTTCATAGATACCACATTACAGTCCACCAGCAAGCGTCGACAGTTGAAGATTAATCATAATATCATGGATTTAACTTCTCCGTTAGTCTTTATATACATATGTAGATCGGCTGCCCCAAAACATGGCCTATCTATGGTATTCCCCCCTCCCGTACTACTGTGTTTAATAGATAAATAGATTACCATGTGAAACCGAAATAGTAAACATTATTTCTGTATCAACATGTTTCAGTCCTACTGTCAGGCAGTCCATGGCTCCTTGATAGACATCCTGGATTGGAGAGAGAATAACTTCATAAAATCTGAACTATTACAGAGGCATGCATCAGGCAAGAATTGTGCAATTCAATTACGTCACTGACTCAAAATTATATGCAATCAGTTCGTCAAATTATTTATAAAAATGTAATAAAAAGACATAAACTTGATCAGCTAAAGTTTTATTTAGGGGATAGTACGTTGTTTTGAGTGGCTATACTGGCGATTAGAACATGAAATTTGGTTTGAACTCGAGACCGATAGGTCAATTTTCAAACCAAATTTGATGTTCCAATCGCCAGTATTGACACGAAAAACAACGTGCTATCTCCATTCTAACACACCGAAATCAAATGAATCTAACTAGATGCCTTCACACGGATGGAACGAACGTTTCAGAAATAAATGGAGGTTAGAACAAGGAATGTTTACTTTTTACTTTTTAATTTAATCAACAAATACATTTCATCGGTCCTTTCTGTTCGTTTTTTTGCTAACCTTATCAACGGGAATTCGTTTAGAGGCGAGCTTGACGCCATTTTGTTTTGGTTAGAAACGGGACGTGGCTTAAGTTCGATGGGATGAGCTTACCACGATTGATCATGATTCTATCGCAAATTAGAACATGATCCGTATCCAATCAAAACACGCGTTGATCAAACGAATCAGTGTTAGAATGAAAGGTAGGTGATCACTCTGTCGTTTATAGCATCCCGCTACATAACCCTGTCAAATTCGGCGTTGAATAGAAGAACACCCCTCTCGAAAAGAAGTAGGTTCCAATCCCATCAATATCGTGCAGCTGTGGTGGAACTGCTATGGCTCCATAGACCCCGTCTTGTATCACATAGATATGAATAGTGTACCTCTGCATTGGTATACCATTCCATTCCTCCTCTGACAATTACATCAACTGAGCGCCATGGACCAGATAATTCGGCGTTCGTCTTATCCTTCTCATAGGGGAAAGCTCGGGGCTGTATTGTGGTCAGGCTGGGATGAGGGCATTGTGTGCTGCTAGGTTATCATGATCGATCTTCGCTGTATCCTGCGGTTGACGCTGCTGTACCAGAGGAGCAACACACGGCGCTATAACTTGACTTCTGACCCAGGTTGCCGCAGCATTTCCCTGAATAAAGGTCAAGAGATCCATTAAACCAATCACGATTCCTGCAGATGCAATAAGGGACCTCCCTCAAATTGGTCGTTCTGTATAATATATCTGACTAGTTCTCATGGACTCGTCTTTAGCCACGGCGTTGGTCGTCTGCGTGGTAAAGTAACTCTCCCTAATCATCCGAGAACATGACACATTTTCAGCATTGTATTTAGAAAGGTTTTACAAAGTGTATGTTCAGCATCTAAATTCGCATGTATTAAGCTTTGCCTGTAAGTCATCATGTACAACGGCATAAAAACAAATGCGTGTAAACGATTAGGTAGTTTTGCATCAATTGCATAACGATGACGCACTATTATGATTCCTGCTGTTTCCGTTACCGAAAGTGGTTGTGCAAGTGTGAAATTCTTATTTTTCTCTCCACCTCAAGGAGTCGCCACACAAGGACGAGTGTTTCGGAACGTGTGCAAGTTTCCCTGTGACATGGAGTCTTTGGGCAAGACGGCTAATAGTCGACCTATGTACACCAAATGTATAAGCGTATTCGTAATCTTTGAAGGCCAATTCTTTATGCTGAAAATGAAGGAAATCAAGACGTAAATTTCTTGTAAATCAATGCTTTATTCTTTGTTCAGGGTATAAATTCTTTCACCGCTTATTAAAACTGTCGTCGGGACGACGGACTTAGTTACTGGTCTTACTTAATACGGCTTCGTCAGAAGAAAATGTCGATGTAAAGTTTTGATCACGTTTCTAGGGAGCATTTTTCGCCGTTGCGTTTCTTTTCCCATTCACCACACAAAATAATCAAAGTCAACAGAGACTCACATAGTACACCACCAAACTGTCCATGTATGACCTTTAGCCATTTATTCTCTACACTTAATCTGTTACGAGTTCGTGAGCTATCATATACATATCTTTTCACCAACAGACACACGGGCGGACGCAGGGACACACTTTTAAAGATACACGGACGGACGCAGGGACACACTTTTAAAGATACACGGACGGACGCATGGACACACTTATAAAGATACACGGACGGACGCAATTACACACTTATAAAACAATTGCTATATATCCCATTTGATAACTTGGTTTATATATAAATGATCTTTTAATCAATAAAAAATCATATTATTAGCTATTTTAATTACTTAATAGCAGGCTCCGTCATATATATATAATATAATATATTACATCTTTCATACTGGTAAATAAGCAATTGAAATTGATGGCTATTTTTTAAGGCTTTGTCTACATGAGTGCCGCTGATATAGAAGTCGAAGGACAGTGGATTTGGTCAAACACTTGTGTTCGGGTTGTTTACACGGACTGGGCACCCACTGAACCATAGAACGCCGGGTCTTGGTGACAGTGATCGTTTTCAATGGCGGGATGTACCTTGTCGTTCGTCGAGGCATTTCATATGCAAAATGAGGTGCTTGTCTCTGACTTTTTTAAACAGTCATATCAGTTTTAACTATAGCAAAGTAAATCACCATATCTCTATCAATAAACCTATTCGATAAGGTGACGTTTTTTGTCTTTTGCATAATATAGGAGTATTTTCTAAAATACGACACAAAAAAGGTAACAAATTGAAGCTAATCTCTTCTTTACTGAAAGAAAGTATTTAACAAGGAACAATGCCAATTTTACATCACAGTGCTTATTTTAAGATTGAACTTGAAGCATAAACAAACGAACCAACTGAAGTTTTATATTTCAGGTTGGATGCTGGAACAGATCATGTTGTTGGATGAAGAGTCGAATTCCATTTTGATTTACTAAACGATAACAAATTTACATCTATTTTGTTTGTTCTTCTAGTTCTATGGTCAATGTTTCCTAAACCGAGACTTGATTACTAACTGAATAGTAAACGCTTTATGCTTAGTAAGTAATAAATAGAACACATAATAGCTCAGTGTAACTGGCCAACCCCACGTGAATGTTGGTTAGCCGCGAGTAAGGTTTTTATAACCTAACATCTACATAGAGAAAGAGGTAAATAGATTTCTGATTTCACAACTGCTTGCAGTTGATAGAGCACTTCAGTATCTGATGATTGTCTGGTATGGCCCTCCTTACGTTTAGCAGTATCCACTGTTAACATCGCTATCTCTGAGTACACTGTCTTGCCTGTATTTAATGATTCTGCTACTGTACTATACTATGAGGATATTAAGATCGCAAATAAGTGACGAAAATAAAATCCAGCATGAAAATCAAATTGAAATGGCATCTCTTTTGCAAAGCTGATAAATGTTCGACATTTATGGTAATACAGTTGAACTATACCGTCATATATAAACTCCAAACACAGAATCGATGTTCAAAATTTTACAAGAATCGCGATATTGCGTCACTAAGATAATAACATCTTGCTTGAGACAATAGTAGTTGATAGCATGCTTCACATATAGTTGGTGTGGTATTTGCTCAAGTGTCTTAAGCAATACCGGTTTATTGTGGGACCTTCAACTAATTCAATTTTCCAAAATTCATTGCAAACTTTAATTATCACAATTCACTATCACAATAAAGTACAGACTTCAACCATGTGGTGATACAGCTTGAACACATATCGGCACTGAACAAATGTTGATTTTGAATAATTGGAATCTTTATCATTATTATACTTTTAATTTTTCATTAAAACGTTTGCTCCTCCCCTTTGTACGCCATCAATCCTACTGTACGGCAGCTAAAATGACGTTTCATGTATTTGGTATATTTATGTGTACCGAATGCTTTTTTTCTGTCTAAAAGTGGCAAACACAAGCTCAAAGATGCTATTACATGGATATTTCGAATGGTCGATAAGGGAAGTAGAAAACAAAACGGTAATAAAAGCGAATGATAAAATTTGCGTATATTGATAAGTAATGCGCTGCTTAAGATGTTGTTGCTTGTCGTTACGAAATGCATTTCTCACTTCAGTGTGCTGTTTAATGTTTTATCATCGTAACAACATCAGATAATATCAATATCAAATAGTTTTATTTATATTAATTTTTGACTTCGATAATAAAATATTTTTGGTTTTAAAAATACCCGTCCAGCGGAAATGAATGCTGGACTAGAAACCAATTGTCTTATGCCCATGCATTCTTAGGCTCTATGAGTCACCAGTTCATGTATTGCACACGTTTTGATAAAACATTTATGTAATCAGTAAACTAGGACAAATTCTGAATTAGAAGTCGATAAGAAAAAGACAAGATAAGAAACTTATCATGAAGAGACATCACGAATTAGGATACAGTACCGGGTGTTTAACCAGAGTAAACGTTTTCTTCATCATATTTGGTTGATGTCATAATGATAACTGTTTTAGCACATAGCAAGCACAATTTCAATTCCTAGTTGACCAGTCAGGAACAAGTTTGTCTAATCATGTCTTTTTGCTGTCAGAATGTTTGTCTGTTTACTCTGTACACTATCATACCAAACTAAAGAGACGCCTCTTAGCTCTTATTATAAGAGCTTCTTTCTACAACAAAGACTACGTCGATACTGCTTTGTAGTTGTGAGTTATTTCGGACCATATTCTTTGAAAACATATGCCAAGATGAAATGTACTTATGAATGCCAAGATTTTCTAGTAGAGTGTAGGAATACCGATGGGAAGTGAATGTCGAGATGTCTTTGCTTTCATAGGCGGATCTGATTGAAGGGCTTATCAGGAGGACTCGTAACATACACTTTCCGTCAATTTCGGATATATCGATGGAGATGATAAGATAGGTCCTCACTCGATGATATATGTGTGAAACATCGATTGTTGTTCGTTCAATCAATAAATGAAAAATTTCCAAATAACATAACGAGTCAATAAAACATATGGCATATATGTTTTGAACTAGGGTATGTAAAGCATGGACACATTGTCTTCACGTTAAGAACGAATGACCACGTGCAAAGACAAATGTGCTTTACGTCATCGAGAAAATTATTCTCAAAGTATTTTGAATACACAAAGGCATACAATATCTTATACGCTTTATGACGTTAATGGTATACATGCCTCGAGTCACAACTTGCTATCAAATGCTTATCAGGAAAGTGTCAGGTCGAAATATGTATATCCGATAACTTAAAAGATAAACATTGTCTTGCCAGTAGTGTTCGGTATGGAGCTACGGGTTCTTTGTTTGGTGATTTTGACTCTAGCTTGGAAAGAAGGTATAATTTGTATTAATACATCAGTATTAATGCCTTATCACAGAAGACGTTCGTCGCTCTGTTTCGTTTATTCGAGATATCTAACTTGAGTTTCTGAATTTCAGTGTTTAATTCTTAAAATTCTTAAAAGATTGTTTGTCATTGGATTGAATGTTGAATTTTAGGTTTTTCATGTGACACCACACAGTCTGGTCAATGTAAAGCTGGATGGTCGTACTACGAAGAGTCATGCTATCTGTTTGTCACAACCGAGATGGAAACATTGAGTGAAGCAAGGTTAGCAATCACATTATCTTTCACAACATACAATGTACGAAACAGAATTATGATTGTCTACTTAAATATGTAATAATGGAATACGTCAATCCCAACAGGAATATTGTAATGACCCTGTATCTCCAAAGAGATAGCATACTATTTAATACCAAAATCGTAAACATTAATTCTGTAGTAACATATATTTCAGTTTCACTGTAATATACTCCATGCTTCTTTGGCGGACATCTTTGATGAGAGGGAGAATAATTTTATAAAATCCCAACTACATCTAAAACACGCCCATGGTAAGTACTAAGCAATTAAATTGCTCCAATGACGCGAATACTGATTATATCAAAAAGTGTTCCTTAACGCAATATAATATATAAAAACTGGTTAAATTTCATCATATCAAGAACATTAAAATAATTCGAATTCCTTACTGTTTTGACAGTTTTATTACTATATCGATGACACATATCAGTAAAATTTAGAGCCCAATGAATTCTAAACGACTGAAATGGTGGTTATGTATTTAGGATGTTACTACATGAGTGCCACTGATATAGTGGTAGAGGGACAATGGATTTGGCCGAAGACTGAAGATCCGGTGGAATACATGGACTGGGGACCCACAGAGCCCCAAAATGCCGGGGCAGGAGAAGATTGTGTTTGTCTAAGTGAGGGTGTGGATTTTCGCTGGGTAGATGTGCCTTGTCATTCACTGAGACATTTTATTTGCAAAAAGAGGTGCGTGTCTCATATTTTAAGTCACATTTATTTTTATTAAATGAAAGCGCACACACAAATAAAACCATACAAACGTTACGTGGAGTCCTCCCTTTGTTAATATATGTAACGGAGAGTATTAAAATCTATACATCTCAGTTCAGGCTTGTAGAGTTAACATGGTCATTTAGAAAAAAAACAGTAATGTATTTGAGTTCGGTACTTGAAGGTATTCCAGCTGTTACTCTGTCGTGTCATGAAATAGTTATTCATCAAGACACAAACGTAGTCTTTGACAAAGTAAAAGATTTGACCCGACTGTTACATCAATTTCAGACTACTTCTTCTAAACGCATCGTCGAAAATGTGCATATCGGTATATTATTTTTTTTCCAACCATATAACATTTCAGATCGGATGCCGGAATAGGACATGAAATTATTGGATGAAGAGTTGAATTTCAATTTGAAAAGTTGTGTGACAATAAAGTTATTAGTATTTATTCTCATTGTCATAGTTTTCGATGTTCAGTATCCCTTATAACTAAAATCCAATTTAATGTCGGAATAACCACCTTGGCTAAAATTTTACCAATATGTATATCTAATAAAACACTAAGTATAAAACCATTCTGGACAACACCATTTGATTTTAATATATACTAGTATATGACATGTATATGGAGGTAAACCGGACGATTTGTTATGTTTATATCGGCCCTTACCAAGATCATACATTTCGTAAATGCTAACCATATCGCTCACCTGGCTAATTTGGAAGTGAGGTTGGATTCTTCCCATTAATTTGGCAGAATAGTACACAGAATGATGGTACTACCACATCTTGGTTTAAATTTTCCCAGCAGTTTGGGAAGAAGAGTCGTTTTAATCAATTGAGATAAAATTATCCTTTTTGACCCCATCTCTCTACCACATAAAGGGTCATCCCCGTCATTTATTAACTTTCATCCTCACAGGCTTAGGGTGTTTCCAGTGCACCTTGGTTGAAATTTTCCTAGCAATTTTAGAGAGGTCATTCATTAAACTAATTCCGAAAATTCACAAACAAAAAAATAGTATTAAGAATAGAATATATATATAAATCAGTACGGGGACTTTAACATGCCGAATTGTGGTATACAGTGTGAAGACGTTATTGAAGCTCGCATGCGAAATGTTGGACTACAGTGTGAAACGTCAAGGGATTTAATATCATTTATGTTTGACAATAATTTAGGTTCAAGGCTTTCCAGAAATCTTTTAGCAATTTTCAGATATCATATAAGCCTGGTGCCGCTACGTGAATAAGCAAACTGGGTCTAGAAGTAGTCCGAGTGTGATAGTAGTAAGTATGTAACATAGCAGTATTGGTGTAACAAGCGGTCATGTTGACATCGAGAAATAATCACAATTGTAGAAACTATGACTGAAGTATCATTTTATTTCCTTGCACATCACCTGGTACATTTTAATTCGGGTGGAGTAGGGTTTCCAACTTATGAAAATATCCATGTCATAAAACTAACCTAAGTGAAATCCTTTATAATAACCAATGGTTGAGAGGTCTAGATCGTTTGACAATGTTTGAAGTGCTCAACAGTGTACTGATAGGCGTGGGAAGAACACTATTACTAGTGTCAGAATCGAGGATTGTGCTTGGGTGGGTGATTTGTGCCGGTGTAACGGTGAAAATCGACCCCGTTGAAAATGGAACTGGGGAACTGTTGAAAACTGACTCTCCCGTTGAAAATGGACCCTATAAGAGGTCAATTTTCTACGCATAGGCCGTTGAAAACTAATCCGTTGAAAACGGACCCTTAATTTGTCAAAATTACCAAAATGATCACATGTACCTATGCGCCCATCGTCTAACCAAATCAGGTCAGTGTGACCTATTTCCAATTATTTGAAATACACTAACAGAAATTTTCTGGTTACCTTAATTAGGAAAAAATTACCTACTTTTGAAGAATTTACCTAGATTACTATAATGTGTCTTTGGGTTCAAAAATGAACTCGGAATTGCTGTTTCAAATAATTAGATCAATGTGACCTACTTTTAAAAAATTGACCTATATTATTCAAAACTGCCATTTGGTTTAGAAATGTACTTAAAACTGTTGTTTTACCTAATTAGGTATAAAGTTAAATATCGACCCACGACCATTTTCGACAATTGAATATATAAAAACGACATAATGTTTCTGGGATCCATTTTCAACGTTGAATAAGGACATTTGTCCTTTTTCGACAATTGAATATGGAAAACTGTAATATTTTCAGGGGTCCATTTTCAACATTGAATATGGACCCCCGTCATTTGCTGTGATACCTAAATATAAGAAGGTGTCATAATGTTCTGGGGTCAGTATTAAACATTGAATATGGACCCACGACCATTTTCGACAATTGAACATACAAAAACGACATTATGTTTCTGGGATCCATTTTCACCTTTTTATATGGACCCGGGGCTACATTTTGACATTGGACTTGTGTCATATTTTTCTGGTGTCCATTTTCTACGTTGAATAAGTACCTATGTCACTTTTTGACTATTGAATTTGAGCAACTGTAACAATTTTCAGGGGTCCATTTTCAACATTGAATATGGACCCGGGTCACTTTTTGACAATTGAATGTTAAAAGGTTTCATGATTTTCTGGGGTCAATTTTCAACGTGGAATAAGGACCCGGGGCCATATTAACACATTCAATATATAAATTTGGTCACAGTGACCTAATTTTGTCTAACATCTGTTAAATATTAATTTCTGATCCCTACGACCATTTTTGCTAATGTAGGTCACAGTGACCCAATTCGGTCAAACTACATTTTAACGTTTAATTCTTAACCCGATGACAACTTTTCATAATGTAGGTCAAATTTCCAAAAGAAGGTCATATTGACCTTATTAGGTCAGACATCCATACTGGGTTAAAATCCAGAAATAAGGCGCAGGACTTTCTTTAAGTATATTCTTAGTGGATATTTAAAATCAATATATACATTTTTCTTATGGTTCATTTTTAAAGGGGGTCCATTTTCAACGTATATGTAAAAATCATTTTGCGTTAGGTTTCTTTTTCAATGGCTTCCCGGTTCAATTTTCAACGTTGAAAACTGATCCCGGTTCCATTTTCAAAGGGGGACCATTTTCAACGTTACACCGGATCTCTACTTTATACAGGGTCGTAAATAATTGTTATAACGTAAAATATATGGTTTTATCTCTCGGGGCGGTCCTTGGTAAAATTATTGCTTGTCCTCGTCCCGATTTGTGCTATATGATCGTACAATGTATGTGAAGTACAATCAATATGAAAAAACTACAGGAAGACAACTTTGGGAAGTCAACACTCGTATTTGAAAAGGTACAACCCAGTTATATGACTTCATAAATCCTATTCAAACAAATGGCCATACTAGGCTTTTTCCAGATAACACGTATACGTATACGCAACATATACGCATACGTATATGGCAGATATCATACTCATACCTGGTGGAAAACAAATTATATGTTCAAAAAGTCCGTGTACAAGTCACTGTTTTAAAATGTGTACGGATATATTACATATGTACAAATTACACCACCCGTATCAAAATTACACGTAATTTCCGTGTATGTATGTGATCGCATTATACACGGACGACCGCCGTGTGTTGGGAGATGTCGTTTATGGAAGAGCAGAAATGAACACGAAAATACAAATTTCGAACAAGTACATAAAACGGGTAAGTTAACAAATTATATATATAAATATATATATCTAAGCAGACATGCGCTCTAAACCAATATATAGAATATGACTTGCAGAAGTTGAAAAAAGTCACGTGTTAGTAGGTGGGTAAATCAATAGCATATGTTTTCATGTCAATGTACCATGCACTCGACTATTCATGACAAGTGACTCTAACGTACACTTGTGTGTTCCTTATTATTTTAGTAATCCTCTGTAATGTTTAACTTTCTTTTAAGTGCACGAGAGCGTGAATGCAAGAAGTGTGCGTGTGCTTGAATGTATGTAATATAGGCATGTGATGGGCCATTCAGTTACAGCCAGTGCGGTAGAAACGAATTTTCGAGAAAGGATGGAATGAAAAGGAGAAAGACACAAAGCACGGGACGTGACGAACTGTTGAATAGTTGAAAGTATGGAA